GAGCCACGTAGCCTGTGACATCTGTCTGTGCCGTGCCATTCGATGCAGCAGATCTGTGTTCCTAGCATGTAAGAGCCACGTAGCCTGTGACATCTGTCTGTGCCGTGCCATTCGATGCAGCAACTGTGACTGCGAAAATTGGATGCGGTGCTTCCATAGCCCACACCCGAACCGGTCCTGTCCGGTCTGTAGGGGTGGCCACTTTCCATAGTTAGGTTTTTTTTTTTTTTTTGGTGAAGTCTGCTTCAACGGTGAATATTTAGGAATCTGTGAGACCCGTCATACACCTCTCCCCTTCTCTTTGCATGTCATACTCTATCCTGCCCTCCACATATTTCTTTCCTTCCCGTTGCCTCTACCTCCCCTGCCAAATAAACTCCGCCTTCTATCCCTTACCCTCCACCCTCCCCTCCACTCCCTTTGTACTACTAACAAAATACATACGAATGAGCATCATTAAGAGAATAAGACGATATGAAGATCAGAAATGAAATGAACGGACGTATGAAGATGAAGGACGGACACAAAGACTGTATAAGCTGAAGATCTGAAGTAAAATGAACAGGAGTATGAAGCTAGATGCACAGGAGCATACCTTCCCTTTTACTCTGCCTACTGAAATAACATGCAAGTGGGCCGTGAAGGCACACGGGGATGTGGGCAGCTGCCGCTCAACCACAATCGACGTGGGCAGCCTTGTGCATAAGAGGCACAGTAAAAGGGCAGCTGCAAGAACAATGAAAGGGGTACCCCAAGGACAACCAAAAAACTGTCTAATTATAAAGTTGCTGTAATATGTTGGACATCTCAAATGCTCTCGTTGTCTACAGTAGGACAAAGACTGCTTTGATTCTGAATCTATTCACCTGGGTGGAATTGGGGCTGTTGTGGGGAAAATCTAACACACACACACACACACACACACACACACACACACACACACACACACACACACAATCGATTCGAATGGATCGATTGAATCGATCCATGGGCTTAAGAGTGTGTGTGTGTGTGTGTGTGTGTGTGTGTGTGTGTGTGTGTGTGTGATCGAATCGATCCATTTGAATCGATTGATGGGTTGTGTGTGTGTGTGTGTGTGTGTGTGTGTGTGTGCACACACACTTTTTTTTTTCTTTCAATCAATCAATCAAATAATTCAAATTTAATCAATCAAATTGAATCAATCAATCAATCAATTAATAATTGTGTGTGGTGGGGGAAAAAACCGTTTTCTCTCTTTTTCCCTGATATAAAAAAGGCCAAAAAAAATGAAAAAAAAAAAAAAAGTCAAACATGCACTAACACCAGTCTTTCTGACAAAAATACCACCACCAAAAAAAGTCCCCTTTCCTTTGTTATTTTTTCCCTTTATCTTCTCTAGAAATCCTAGAATACTTAAATTACGAAAGGAAAAGTGGGTTTGTAGTGTTTAAAAAAACCTGCAACCCCTGTTGTTTTCTGTGACTTCTTTATTTTTAAGCAAGAAATCCCCTAAATTTCACTGCTGGCAGTGTCGTCACCTGGTATGGGAACGGCCCGTCCGTTATGACCGTACGTATGGGCCCTCAGCCCCCGTACGGCCCATATGTACGGACTTCGGGCCCTCCGTACGTGGCCTTCCTGGAGGGGGTTGAGGGAAGGTTTTTTTTTTTTTTTTTTTTTTTTTTGTATGTCCCGGGTGTAAAAAGAAAAGAAAAGAAGATTGATTGATTGATTCAATTTGATTGATCGTAAAATAAATAAGAAAATGAAAAAAAAAATACATGCAAAAGAATGAGAGGTAGGTTCATTGATCGATTGATTGATTGATTGATATGCTGTGGGGGGTGGGCCTCTCCCCGGCGAACACACACACACACACACACACACACACACACACACACACACACACACACACACACACACACACATGTGCGCGCGCGGGGCCTTGTTTTATTTTCTTCTTTTGATTGATTGATTGATATCCTGTGGGGGGGTCGCCTCCCCCCCACGAATACGCACACACACATGCGCACGTGCAGGCCGAAACAAGTGTGGCAGTGTATATTTCCATGTTCTAGCAGTAGATTCATTCGATTTTGCTCATCCTATCGATGGAAGTAGGATGAGGTGAGCTGCGAGGTTGGAGACTTACCTGTTTACAAGTGTGGCAGTGTATATTTCCATGTTCTAGCGGTAAATCATTCGATTTTGCTTTTTCTTTTTCTTTTTTTTTGATGGCAGATTTTTTTCTTAATTAAAAAATATAAAATCCTCAGAGGCCCCTTGACACCCCCGCTACCATCCCTGGGGGTCAACCCCCCCAGGTCAACCCCCCACTGGGCCCTGGCACGTTCGGATGGAGACTCTGTACGCCTGTACGGCTGTTCGTCCGTCCGTACGCACGGGCCGTACGGAGACTCCCCGTACAACGTACGGGGGACTACACTGACGGTTGGAACCTGACCGCCTCTGTCGGCGGCGGCGGTTGGTTGACTTCTTGACCGCCGGCTCACTCACCCCCCCGGTGACACATAGCTTGTGGATGTCCGAGAGGGTCAGCAGGTGCAAGCCATGGATGCAAACAGGATGTGTCTACTGATCCACCTGTCAAGGCGCTCTGCTAGTTCTCTTCCCATCGGTGATACATAGCTTGTGGATGTCCGAGAGGGTCAGCAGGTGCAAGCCATGGATGTAAACAGGATGTGTCTACTGATCCACCCTTCAAGGCGCTCTACTAGTTCTCTTCGCCGCCTTTTCTTCCCCCCTTACATTTGCTGTTTGCGGCAGAATATAAGCGTTTCAAGTTTCTACATACTGCCATAGTTATGGGAATCAATGGGAAACAGCCTCTACATACTGCGATAGTTATGGGAACCAACGGGAAACTGCTTTCTCTTCTTTGCCGCATCCCGGAGGCTTAACACAAGATGCAAGACTCGGAGTCAAGTCCTCCTGGATGTTGTAATCTGCACGAGTGCATCTATCCTCAAGCTCTTATCACTCAAACACTAACCTTGACCTATCCTCAAGCTCTTACCACTCAAAAATATTTGCATGGTGCCTTGCTCCTCTACGTACCTCGATACTCTCTCCACTCCCGAATAACCCTGCCTGCCAACTCGGGACTATTCGTTCGTTGCGTACATCCACGCTGCAGATGGCCCTATGCAGTCCTTGTAAACGCAACCTGGGAAAAGGGAAATGCATTTTTTAACCCACCATGACAGAAACCGCACCAGCACAATCGATCGACCACTCCCACCAATTGCGGGAGGGTGGAAAATCAGAAGTGGGGCAGGCTGGCCTGTTTGGATCCGTGGACTCGATATGTTAGCATGTTAGCACGTATCTGGACTACAAATGATACAGATACAGTCGGATCATGAGGATGTGCGGTCATGACCATCAGTAGTAAGTTATGTGGCATGGAATGGCTCCAAGAATGGTGCTATTCGATAGGGCCTCGTTCCATTACACAAGCTGGAGCTGGTGATGGTTCCGACACATTATGTGGTCCAGTTATTTATTGAGATACGTTTAGGATGTGTTGAATACTGGAGTGCGGCCCATATTCTCTACTGAGGCCAAGGGGGATGGCTACCCTCAGTGCCCTGTATATTTTGACATGTATTAAACAGTATTTGGACTGTTGTGTGGACAAAGTACATTGTGTCACTACCCAACATTCGACACGCATCTGGACTGTTGTCTAGACAAAATACATTATGGCTGATCGAATATTTTGAATGCTGTTGGGCCATTACCAGCTCTTATACATTTACAATGTTGTGCAGTGGAGCGAGGCCCGATATGCTGTTAGGCAGGGTGACGCAATCTGAGTGGATGCGCAGAGCCAGAGGCAAGTCGTTCACAAATGGAAGAAAATGAAGACACAGGACATGGTTGACGAAAGACACGAGAAGCAGAACGTGAAATAGAACAAAAATACACAAACACACACACTGTCACGCAACCATAGAGTCAGCAAAGGAATGCTCAAATAAACTCGGGCACTGGAGATTATCATGAAAGATAAAGATGTCTGTGCGGCGCCGGTGTGTCTCCTACTACAATCATTTCAACTGCCAGAGACGGTATCGTCAGGGGACGAGAAGCGCATAAATGAACTGCGGTGGAGCAAGGCCCGATACGCTGTTACACTGCCTGCCCTTTCTCCTTGTTCCTTTCTGGTTCTTTGTCTTTTTTCTTCTTGAGAACACTCAAGCGTGAATGAATACTGAGGACATATGGTTCGCTGAATTCACGTCAACATCACCTTCACCTTGTCTATAAAACCTTTTTCTACAAAACCTTTTTTGTTTGTGTTGCTGCCAAGGGTCGTCTCAGCCTGTCTGACTTGACAGTGCTTGTTGTGCATGTTTTTGCAGGGTGAATGGGGTGTTCTGGACAGGGGGTCTGGTCACATTCAACCCCTCGCCAGAGGATTGGCCCAGTTTCATGTACATGCAGACAACCCGTCGCATCATGCAGCATGTGCTGGAAGAGAACCGAAATGGGAGGTACTATCCACTGTGGGGAACATGCCTTGGGCATGAGAGACTACTGCAGCTTCTAGGTATGCCTTACCCATTTAGACACTCGGTGTTTATTTCCTCCTGGTTCCTATCAATGCCGCACTATCATGTCCACTTGGATCATCATTGTTGAGATTTGCCGCACAATCATGTCCATTCGGATCATCATTGTTGAGATTTGGCTCGCTTCAACTAATTTCAGCATGTGTTGCTCGTAACTTGCTACTCTTACAAAAACTACGGAGACTTTTCAAAAACACGTGCTTGATTGGAAATGTCACAAAAGTACAAACTTGATTGGATGCAAAATTTACGTGTTTGATTGGAAATGTCACAAAAGTACAAACTTGATTGGATGCAAAATTTACGTGTTTGATTGGAAATGTCACAAAAACTGGGTGTAGAGTGAGTGCCGTGAAGGCAATGGACGATGGTCCCGGTTTCCAGCTCTTATAATACAAAACGGGAACTTTTCAGAAATATTTTCCAGCTCTTATAATGAAAACGGAGACTTTTCAAAATATTTTCCAGCAATTTTTTTTTTTAATAAGAAAAAAAACGGAGGCTTTTCAAAAATATTTTACAGCTCTTATAGTACAAACGGAGACTTTTCAAAACTATTGTCCAGCTCTTATAATAATAAGAACGGAGACTTTTCAAAATTCAAAACTATTTTCCAGCTCTTATAACAAAAACGGAGACTTTTCAAAAATATTCACGCTAGGATAGATGATGGTAAAACAAGAAGTGACACATAAAACAAGCAGTGATTGTGTCACGGTACTCTTGGGCACCTGGCTGCCCTAGGTGTCATGCAACTAGCAGCATCATGTGGAATGATGCTGCAGTCA